AAATAATACGAATAATGTCTGAAGTTCTTGCGCTTTTCGGACCTTGATTTTCAAATGCCTGTATCTCGGCTCATTCGAAACCTTTTTGATTGGAGTAAAGACTGTTAGAATCCACAAACCTCTGCCAATAATAGCTGCGTTGAATCAGCCCGGTAGTGCAGAATACTGGAGCTCTAGAGACGATGAACCCGGCGGAGGTCGTTTCCGCATCATGTTGGTTTTTGAAGCATAACTCTTTGGAGAAGCTATCCAGGTAGTCGAGAAAGTGACAAATTATAGGCAAAAGGTCTACCGAGTAGGATGTTCGCAGGACTAATTCGTAGCCAATCTTGTCCAACTTCTGCAGGGTTGGTTGTGGAATGTGCGTCCGAGCTACCTGTCAGGGACGAGCCGGTTCCTTTATAATGAGGAATTTCGAGCATATGTGCCAGAGTTCTAGGAGTAGTTTGACACATTATCAGGAGTACTTTTTCCACATTAACAGATCCACCTGGTTACGAAAAGCTAGACCAGCCGCTGACCTTATGAAAGTCACCTCAACCTTCCTTCAGTGAAGTTTCACTTTTGCAAAGTTTGTAGAGCCTGATCGCGGTCGATCACTTCACCAAAGGTTCGTATTCTGTAGCAAAGAATCCGTTCTTTGTCGTGCGTCGCAAATGATCAAAAAGTCAGGTCGTTTTCATGGCATGAAACAAGCTAGAACGCGGCGAACGACCCTTCAAAATGGTGAGCTGTCGCGGCACGCCCTATTTGAATTTTTGGGACTTTCCAGCTCTTCCCGTACAACAAGAAAACACAATGCAAGTGCGATTAGTTTAGGAGGAACCCTCTCAATAGATTTGTGCAAACGTGCTTCAACCAGAACGTTCGACTAATCGTTGGCGTTGTCCAATCTCCGATCACCACCCTCACAATCTTTAGGGCTCTCGCTATTCTTACAAAAGCTTTTTGAACAATTGCTTCAGACCATATTTATTGCGAATCTCAGCCAAGTGCGTCTATAATATCTTGACCTGCTTCCTCTCCATACTGGCCTGCTTTGAGCTAGAAAAAGGAAATCATGCAAATTTGCTCTTGGAGTATGCCGTATTCAAGGCTTCAAAAAATGACAACTAAATAATAAGGAACATAGCTAGCCTAGCTGTTAGATAGAACAAGAAAAGCTCTTCAAAACCACATACAGCTCATTGGCAGCTTGCTTGAATTCGTAACAAAATAAAGCGTTCAAAAACGAAACACCGAAAAGCGCAAGAACTTTCTTCACGACCTAATACATGGGTAAAACATTTTTGAACATGTTCCAAACTAAATATTTGCACAATGCAACGTCTCTCTACTACCAGCAGCCCCACACGTAAGCACTTGTAGCTTTATTGGCTCTTATCGCTAGTCAATTGCTTAGTGTACGAGTGATAAGTGGACGATGGCGGAGTGTCAGTATCCTTGAAACGGCGTTTTATTCGCTCCAGCCTGATTACTGATTATTCTGGCCTTTCAATGTCGATCGCATGCAGCTCTGGAAATCAAGATGACAGCGGAAATGATGCTGACGATAGTGAAGGTATCTTCCGTCATATTTTTTAGACATATTAGACTTGTAATGGCTGTAATGATTTTTTGAGAACATGAAGTATTCACCCCTTTCGGAAGCTATGCCGTACTGAAGTTGTATGAACCAGATACCTTATATCATAGTTCCTTCCACTCACGCTGATTCATTTTCAGATTACGACGATGAGGATGAAGGTATACAAAATATCTACCTTCATATATGCAATGAAGAGGGTCGAGAATTTGCTGGAGTCACCACATTTCATGGGATGGTAAAACTTATCCAAACATTCATTTTCTTAAATATTTGCAACATACAGCATTCATTCTACTGTGTCTTTCAAAGAGACTGAATTTGAAGGCATGTCTAGGATCAAGCTGGTGTGGGTTGTATCGTATACAAATGTAATGATATGAAATCGGCCGGCAGTAAAGAAAAAAGGAAAAGAATCCGTCGAAAACGCTTAGGTTAAGGGCTCACTCACCTTCCTAATCGGCTGTGCTAAGGCAATGAGAGACTAAGCGCGGAGAGGAGAGTATGAGGCGAGAGAGCGCAACAGATGAGAGGCGCCAGACAACAGCCTGAAAACATTGCAGCTGCTGCAGCTTATTTTGCAAGGCTGTAATGCCCTTGTCGGGTGAGTCCCTGACACATTGGAGTACCACATCAGTGATTGTCCTTCAGGGGTTTGAAGACTGAATGGAATTCACGCTTCTTTTGCTCGCGGGTTGTACCTTTAAGGCTGGTGTCAGAGTCCGCGATCCGTCGCAGGTTTCGCTGATTTTCGCGATTTGCGCGATTCACGCGACGGGTCACGGAAATCACAAGTGCCCGATCAATACTGCAAGGTGTTCTCCAATCCCGCCGCCACTTCTGCTTGATAGTGATGGCTGAATGACGACTGCTCATGATTCCACTTGTTTCATATTCAGTGTTTCAAATGTTCAAATGGGGCACTTGCAATTTTTGTGATCCGCGCGAAGCCTGCGACGTATCAGAGGAATCGAAAGTGCCCCATCACCCCCCCCCCACTTTTTTCACGTTTTATGGGCGCCGCGGCGAGCACGGCCGAGCCGGTAGCGCCCGCGAAGTGTGCGGGAAATTTGAAAATGTTCCAGCACAGCTCGCGGGCGCCTTGTGTGTGTTGTGCCTTGTGTACTCCTGTGATCCATCGCGAAAATCGCGCAAATCGCGAAAATACACCCAAGAGCTGCTGGGTTTTGTTTGAGTATCGGACTTTTATAACTAAACGCGTGATACATGTAAGCCACAACCGCGGCAACTGATCAAGACAAAAGCAATAAATGAGCCCACCATGTAGGCAGAGAAATAAATGCTAAGAATGGCTCTAGGCTGGGAAAAGTAAAAATAAAGAATAAGTAGAATAAATGAAATGAAACTACGTCATCAAAGACGAATTTCTCTACTTTGTAATTTCTAGATTCGGATTTTCATGTCGAGAACATGGACTTCATTAATATTTTGGGTTATGGTCGTCTCTACATGTTTAGTGTTTTTCATGATCTTCGTGAGTTCCCGAATTTCGCTACACTGTGCTTTTCGGATATAATTTTTTATTTGGGGAAGTGATGTGGTGGCAAAGGGCGTGTCACCAATCGTACGATCCAGGGATCAAATTCCTGGGTCGTGAGTCGCCCGGGCCAACCAAGCCTTCCATCCCTCCGGGGTCGGTTAATTGGTACCAGACTTGTCTGGGAGGATAAAAACATGGACCTTCACATCGGCTGGCCTACGCAGCTCGTTGTATAGGCCAAATAACATTCTCGAATTTGTGGTGTATGCGGAAAAGGGATAAATGCCATGTTTTTCACACTTGTTCAATGGGTAGTTACAAGAGATTCGTATAATAAGGTACAAACTTGGTAGTTGGTGGCAACTATGAGACGTGCAGTGTAGAGGGATCGAATTTCGCCCACGCCAACCATGCTCTCTACCGTTCTGGATAGGATAAATAGCACCTCGTCTGGGAGGACAAAAAGGCGACTTGCACTTGGCTGCCCTCTCAATTCATGGAAAGAACCAAATCGCATTCCATTACCACGGTTAATGGATACCTATAGCTCATGTGACTTATCCCTAAAAGCAACTGTTCCACCCCGAGTGCTTTACAATTTTTTCAGTGCTTTTGTTGACATTTCCAGTACTAAGTGTTGACTTACCAATAACATTTAGAGCGGTTACATTCTTTCGAATTATGCCAAGGCAAACACTTTTATGCGCCGATATACTGACGTGAGTCACGTCGACAATGTATTCTTATCATTTTGTGGATCTCAAGAGTGAGTTGCGGCAATTAATTTCGTTGAAATACTCTACTTCTGAAAAGTATGAACAATCTAGATTAGCTGCTCAGCACGTTTACGCGATTCCTCAAGTCAGTTCTGTACATACAAAAGGAGACTGTCTGAAGATTGAGGCTCGCACATTAAATAGACGGCTGTTGATTGCCTTCCAACAAGGTAACATTCAGTTGTACTGTTTCAGACGCAGGTATTTCATTTATTCGCGAGGCTAGGTAAGTAAGTGGAGCTCCAAGCTGCATGGTATAGAGGAAAACTCACCAGCGGGGCGGACGTGAGCGTGTGCTGGTGACGTCACAATTGCGGTAAGCGCGTTGAGAAGACGAACAATAGCCAGCGCCACGTAGTGGGGTTGCTGGCATTCAACCAACCTTTACAATAGTGGAGCCAAGAAAAAATGGTGGTACAGCGCCTACTAGATACCATTTTTGGTAACGCTACGCTGGTGACTTGCCCCCCGTTCTCCACCAGTCCCAAGGGAGTTCACGTTGTGATGGGCGTTGCCTGATCACAGCGGGCGAGGATGCCGGTGGAGGAGCTACAAAGTCGATTACAGCACCTCCACCAGCATCCATATGATCTTGGCTGCACCGCCCAACATACTTAGCTCGCCTAATCCCTTGTGCTGATTATGCCTTCAGAAGTCGCGGGGATTAACAGAGGGAGAAAAACTCAACAACCATCAAGAACCAAGCCGATCAGTGAAGCCGGCTCGTCCTTTTCCTGGAGGAGAGCTGTCGCGGCTCTGCTCAATCGACATTGTGGCTGAGAACGGTTACTGTATTGATTGATGATTTTATGCTTTCAATTATCGATTATATTCCGAACAAACTCACTGAAGTTGCTCAAAACCCCAAGGAAATCCCAACAATTACTCAATTCCGCACTTTCGAAACCTATTGATATTAGTTTTTACAGATATCACTTCTTCATCTGAAATAGTCCTGTTAATATCTGCTCCAACTGTCGCCGAGCAACCAGTTTACTTGAGAAGTCGTCATCATCATCGAATATTCGTAGAGGCAACCCAAGTAGGCAAGTGTGTGACTTTATTCTTTTCCAGTTTGACGGCAGCTGACAAAGTTCTTAAGAAACATTCAACAACAAAGTATCCAACTATCCATATCTGGAAAGTTTTATTTCAAAATTTCGTTTTCAAGCGATTCTTTAGATATCTCGGTTGAACATTACAACTGCACCATGTATTAGCGATTACTCGGAGCTCCTGTGGATTCAGCAGGGACGGATCCTACTTGAAAATTCGGAACTGTATACAGTGCAGGTTTGCCTTCACTACTTATCTCGAGCGAAGGGGAAGGAAAGGGAAGGAAAGGTTCAAGGAAGGTCTTTCAGGGTGTGCCAAGCTTTTTCAAAACGGTCTTTTGCATGATATAGAGGGCACATGCGGGAACCACAGAACCATGGTTAATTTTTCCTGAACGGCCCTCTGAATACCAGAAAAGGGGGTCCCTAGTCACACCTTTTTCACCAGTTTTTCAATCAAAGTCTATTTGTAAGGGTTACTGACGTTCCTAATCATGAATTTGGTACTAATTATTCATGCTAACTCCATTTTGCGCGAATTTTGAAACGTCAACTCGAAATGCAAAAATTTGTCACCACGAGGAATCGAACTAGGGACCCCTTTTCTGGTATTCAGAGGGCCGTTCAGGAAAAATGAACCATGCTTCTGTGGTCCCCAATGTCATGCAAGAAACCATTTTGAAAAAGCTTGGCACACCCTGAACGACCTCCCTTGTAAGAGCCGAATCAAACCTCACGCAGAAGGATTAAGCCTTTAGGGTTGGTTAGTTGGTGCCAGACTTGTGTGAGATGAGAAGAGAGCGAACTCTTTATCAAGTGGCTTCCAGACTTCTATACCTCATTGTATAGACCAGATTACATTCAAATGCCACTACTAATGCTACAACCCCAAATGAGAATAGACTGGATGGCATATCCCAAAAAGGAACTGACAAACGTCGAAAATTTTCCCTTATATTCGTTTTTGATAAGGCAGTAACTGCTTGCAATTTAATTTGATTTTATTTAGGGATGTGAGCAAATGCAGGTGATCGAATGGATGCTCAGAGAAAAGGGTTGTGTCCCAGCGAGCACACTTGAGCACAAAAGGCTACCAGTATGTCCCAATAACAATTTCCGTCTGGACCACTCATTGCAAAAAGGTGAGATAACAACAAAAAAATCAATCGTTCTGTTCACAAAATTCAGTCGTAGAATGGAAATTTGAATAACAGTGCTGTAGTTCGGTCTCAATAGAGGCTTCATAGCATGCTGCAGTAGAGGAGAAGCATGCAGTAGGCAGAAATACTACTTAGATAGATATATTTATCGTGATTGTTCGCACGAACAAAGCTCCAAAAATTCTTGGTGGCCACGGATACCTAGGCAGCGTCAAGGCTCCATGGGAAAACTCACCGGCGGCGCGGACGCGTTCGCGTGTTGGTGACGTCACGGGCGGCGAGGGAGAGAGCAAGGGCTAGCTCTGCCGCCATTACTTCAATACATTGAGTATTCCGAGAGAATATCGTACTCTTGCATCACTGAGTAATAAGTGGAAATAAGTAGGAGTCCAGCTCTGAGCGCAGACTCAGTTCAAAAAACTAACATGACTGTGTACTTCTTGGATTTGCATATGGAAGCCTCGACTTCCTCCGCATTCTCAAAACCCAACTCCTATTGCGAGGATGGTACCTGTATATAACAAAAACATTTCTCTTGCGGCACAATTAATTGAACAAGTTGGTATAGTGCCAGAAACCCGGCACTGTTTGGACGAAGTGGCAGCGGCGCTGGCCACTGCTTGCCCTTCCTTTGAGCCTGCCGCAGCTGCGACGTCATTTTGACGTCACCAGCACGCGCTCGCGTCCGCGCCGCCGGTGAACTTATTCCGTCCCCTTCCCCCAGGTCGACACCTGGTACACTTGGTTGAGGGGTGCGTTGCAGTTCTCCTCCACAGGCCAATTATTCACCTGAAATTGAGACACCACTCATTTGCTCGAAGCAAGCTTAGGACTAAGCCTAGGCCCAATCATAGGCTTAAGCATAAGCCAATGTGTAAGCATAAGCCTAATTCTAAGCCCGGACCAGCCTTAGCATCAGGTTTGATGGCGCAGCTCCGGTAACCTGACCCCATTAAGAGAAGTGAACCCCTACACTGGCTGAGTCAGAGTTGGTCGTATTTTATGATTTTGAGGAAAGGGATCTGGCGAAGTAGAGTTGTACTTGAATGACAAGAGGAGTCAGTTTTTTGAGAAGGGGGATGAGTTCGGTACAAAGTTAAAGAACTGAGAATTATGGCGAAATTTGACGTTACAGGCCGCGTTATTGGCCGCGTAGCGCCTATGGGGTAGAATCGTACCCTCGCCTTCAAATGACCAGAAATTGTGCAATTGCAGAAATTGACGTGGCATTAACGTGGCATCGATTCAAGAACATCTTTGAGCACACGTGATGTCACCTTTTCATCGAGAATTTAGCCACGTGTGCCAATGCCACGTCAATTTCTGCAATTGCACAATTTCTGGTCATTTGAAGGCGAGGGTATATCTGTAATGGGCCAACGTCGATTTTAAACTGGTCCAGGGCTCAAATGCTAGGTATCTGGGCTATCTAGGCACTCTTAGGACTCCGCACATATGAGTGTGGATCGAATTGTGCAGTCTTAGACGGTTCTAAATTCCGAAAAGTCTTGCACAAGACGCGTGCTATTATCCGGCCGATTGATCGATCGGGGGCAGTATCCTCTGAGGGGACGCGTCCCCTGTTGCTGATTCTATCCTTGGTTGGGGGAGACAAAGTTGCGTCATAGGACCAGCCATACTCTGCTTTTCTATACTGCAGGCAGCGTGAGCCCTCAAAGAAAAGTGTGCCGCAACACGGGGAGGGGGGGGGGGGGAGAAGTAATCACAACATCACGCGATTAATGGCGGTGCTATGACGCAACTGTCTCCCCCAAGCTGTGGATAGATTCAGCGGCTGGAACGCGTCCCACTTGGGGAAGGATAGGATATGGCGCCAACAGTACCCTCTTATGGAGGCGCTATCCACAGGGTCCCAGTCATGTTCTGCAGCAAATTGATCCTATAGAAGCTAGAGTTCAGTGCTCTGGGAATGAACTTTGAAATTTTTGGTTAAATTTCGAATCCTGGTGCAGGTTTAATGGCGTGAGCTTCCCTGTGAGGGGCTTATAAACGCCAATAGTTCTCATCTTCGATATGAGGACGGTAGGATCAAGGAAAATGTTGATGATCCTAGGATTCCCAATGCAACTAGTTAATTTAGAATTTCCATGTTATCCTCCATGTGCCTCGATGGAATGGAAAATATTGTCAACCTACCTCCGAACTTCACAAGGATTGAAGATATCACTTGAGTTCAGCAAGAAAACGGAGATTCTCGTAGAAGTACGCAAAATGGACATCACGGACGTATTGTGTAGGTCCTTGATGTACTAACATGTTTCATTGTTGTATTATCTTTAATTACTGATTGGAAGTTTTACTTCAGCATTCGTTGGAGGTGGAACTTCGCTTTTCCTTGGCTGTAGTTGTGTGACCCTAATGGAAACGTTCGTATTTCTACTCAAACTCGTGCTACAATCAATCAATAAGGAATCATATGAGGGAATCGGTGTAGCTAATGGTGAGCGCTTACTATAAAACTTCAGACAGAAAACGCCGATCGATGGGGGCTAGGGACCTTTTACACAACTTAATGGAACTAAATTATTTCCATGTTTTCTTCTGCTATTCGGTGGAATTGAAGTTCCAAAGAGGCGGGGAGGGAGGCACTCCATCGGACTTCCAAGAAACGGGAATACTTTTGAGATGCTGTCGCATTTTGGACTACAATAATCTGAGAGAACTATCTGAATCAGCGGAGTGGACATCCGAGGTTCAAGGGGGTAGAGCTCGGTGGATGAGCCGGTACGAAAATCACAAAGGACGTGGGCAGGTGTGTGAGATGTGGGCCACACATTGAACATTATCAAACAATATATCATTATCAACATTATCAACATTATCGAATAAGATAGGAAGGGCCTCATCCCCCCACCTCCAGTTAGAAACGGCAAGTTGAAACTCCATTTCCACCTACTGTCTCTGAGCGCTCTCGGGGCCGAGGTGAGTGTACTACATCTCAACAAAACGAGCCGAATAGGCAGCAAAGCCCGGCTCGAATCCCGTCCAGGCCAACTTAGCCATCCTTCAAATCCCTTGGGTGATCCTTCCGGGACGACTCCATTCTCCGACCTTTCCCCCGATCTCTACATCAGCCGTCAATCTTAAATCATTCTTTAGAACAAATCGTAATGGATCTAATCAGAGGCTCAGCACAAGCCAACGTATAACCATAAGGCTAAGACTAAGCCTAAACCCGAGTCTAACTTAGGTTTCAATGATCGCGAAGCTGGCGACCAGACCTCAGGAGGAGAACTGAACGTCTCCTCACCGGGTGCTCATTTTCACAATCTTGACAGGGGCTTAACTTAACTGTGTTAAATTTAGCTGTGGAAGCATTACTGAATCTAAGAAATGTAGTCAGTTCCATTTTTAAGTAATTTGTTCGTGGTACAACTTCCAGGAAATACTTCACCAGATTGGTTTCAGAGTCGGAAGTTGATGATATTGTTACCGCTTCGAGATACTCTCAACCCTTAATTTCGGATACACATATTCCACAGAGGATCCCATCAAGTGCGTTATATCGAAAATCAATCAATAATGTTCATTTGTGTTCACTTTCTTTCACTTTTTTCCTATGACTATTCCTGTTAGGAATCGACGTGAATGAGGAAGATGTTATCGTACCCACTAGCATGCAGGCGTCACCGCATAAATCGATTCATTGTGTTCGGTAAGAATCGGCATGTTAACAATTTTTACTCTCTTGTAGCCAACTGATCGATAATTGATTGCTCATCCATTTTCAGTTTCTTACATTCAGTGGAGGATGACGAAAACGATACGCATCGGCGGCATTACAGACCTCGTCCACCCTCTCTATCAGAGTTGAAATTCAGGTAAAGCTCATGCAGAAGACAGCCTGGCTGTTTCTTCTCTCAAAGGCACTATAATTGATTTTTCTATTTTCTTACAAAAAAAATACAGGATATTTCTTTTTTCAGCAGCACATTCAACGAAATGGATACGCACAACATCGGTCAGTTAGGTTACCGCAGAATATGTACTTGTTTCGGAGACGAGAAGATAGTCGAGTGCAGACCACACACCACAAGTGACGACGGCCAAGAAAAAGTGGCTTTTTTCTTGGCCGTCGTCACTTGTGGTGTGTGGTCTGCACTCGACGCTCTTCTCGTCTTCCGAAATGGAGGGTATAAGAATCAAAAATGACTGGCTAATGTTGCCAAGCACACTATCCACTCTATTTAACTATTCTCTTATGCCAATATCTCATTTGTAAATCTTTGTGAAACCTTCCAGAACGTTCTCTGAAAAATCTTCCGTTGAGTCAAAGGCTTACTTTTGACGGCAACATGGAACGTCGTCGCCTGAAGCGACAAAGCGCGGTCGATATTCCAGATGACAAACTTGACCAAGTATGTTTGCCGGTGTCGATTATTTGCCTGTGAAGGCATGCACAACACCTAAGATTTATGTTTCTAGCTATTTCGTGAAATCTGGAATAAAACGAAATTGAAATAGTGGTGATGTGTATGAATGTTTTTCAATTTCAGTACCTTAGCGATCCAAGTGGCAAGCATTCGATTTGTGACGATTTCGATCGAAAACACCCAGCTCGGGTTAAAAGTAAGTCTGCATTTCTGCTGCTTAGAAAGTGCTGTTAAGCTTAAAACGTAGAGGATCAATAATATACAATACAATAATACCTGAGTCTCATGGTGTTATAACCATGCTTCTCTCTTCCTTCCCTTTTATTAGGCTCCGCTCGCGACTTATGCGATTTGGCAATCAAGCGATTTCGCGATTTGGGGAGCACGCTGCAAGGAATGGATACGTATCGATAAGGATCGCCTAAGTCGGTAAACGCCCATTGGGTGGAGTCATTTCAATCAATGCGCACCTAGTCTGTTTAGCTTTATCGCCTAGCGCATAATCGCCATCTTCGGATCGATACGTATGCTATCCTTTCAGCATGATCGCCAAATCGCATCAATTGCGAGTTGTTAAAGGGTCCTTACCAAAATTTCAGTGCCGATCTGCAATTTTGGGTGAAACGTACCAAACGATGCCTTCTAGGGTTGTTACATTCAAAATGGCTCTATAGGTCTTTGACTGGATTCTCATGATTGATAGAAACTGTTTTCACTTCTGGATCCTATAAAACAGTGTTGATCCCAGAAAACGATCAACCTCAAATTTCAGTTCGTCGAATTTCAAGTGTGACGTCACGTGGCTCGGCGTCTAGCTCTCGTGCCAATGTGCATATCGTTGAGCACCAACGTCGTCATAGTCAAATATTCAACAAATTCATGACAATGAATGATTTTTAAATTTTTATCGAGTCACCTATAGTAAATAAAAATACTTATGACATGAATGTGTTTAGATTAAGGAAATAAACACCATGAATACTGGATGTGGAAAAACTCAGTTTACCGGCCGCGCTCATCAGCAGAGTTTTCGTTTCAGGGAGGGCACAAAAAATAATAGCTTCATATATTTCAGAAAGGTCCTCCGATTAGCAGAAGCAGGCCCATCTCCTTACTACTCAAGATTAAACCATTCGTCATCGCCAAAGGACGGCCTCAAGTACTTGGCCTGAGCAACTGCGTGATTTCATCGTCGGGCCTTCTGGTGGTCACTTACTAGAGACCATAGCTCAAACTGTGCAAAAGTGCTGCTAACCTGCTCACCAGACATTGTCGGTGTGGTCCACTACCCTCAGGGTCGACCGTTCCTTGAAACTAATCGGAGAGGGGTCGTATTTGGGGTTGAGGTAAATCATCTTCTGGAAAAGTACGAACAAGTTTGTATTTGAGGAAGTTGAAGGGGTCATGGTGTCGTGGTTGTGGGGGAAGGGGGTCGTATTGATTTTTTTGGAGAAAACTCCGTGTATGGGGGGCTCCATAGAAAAGGTCACCAGCGGCGCGGACGCGTTCGCGTGTTGGTGACGTCATTTTGACGTCACAGCGGCGGCGAGGGAACCTCCAAAGGTCTGACGTTGCCGCCAATACTTTCATACCTTATGCAGAAGCATTTAGTCCGCTAACTTCACGGAAATCGACTATTTACAGAAACACAGAATTAAATACCTTAATACATAGAGATAGCCATAATCGTGATGGTGGTTGGGGAGGGTTGGGACGGAAAGGGGGGTTAAAATTTGTGTCAACTGCAAACGCGGTTCGTAAAAAAACGAGAGACCGCGAAAACATTCGCGTAAACTGCAAACGGCGCAAAAGAGTTGACCCACACGATTCTCATGTTCATGACTTCTCAAAGGTGGACTTTCGGCGTATTCTCTTGGCGTGGGGTGGACGTTTCGGAGTGGAAGAGCGATCTCGTGTTGATGGAGCCGGAGCTGAACGCGAACACTGCTACTAGATCTAGCAACCCCATAATAACAACGACTGACATGCTGTCAGAAAACGTCCAGCTTGTAACAGCTTCATCTTTCACCGTACTTGAGCAAGGCGCCTGGAAATGCTTACTGGATCCTTGTGGATCTGAAAAGCGTAATGAACGGGAAAAGAACGGCTCCATCGTGTGTCGCGCCTGTTCTGATGTCCTCGGCTACCGTAGCGGGTATAGCTCAGACGGTAGGTTTACGAAACCAAAAATCGTTGCATAAGACGTACCCTCCCCTTCAAAAAGCGAGAAAGTGTCGGGTGCAGACCATGCACCACAAGTGACGACGGCCTTCACAAAATGTTAATGTTTTCTGCCAATGAAATGATTAGCCTGTTGCAGTTGTATTCTATCGATTGTCACTAATTACAATTATC